GAGAGAGAGAGAGAGAGAGAGAGAGAGAGAGAGAGAGAGAGAGAGAGAGAGAGAGAGGACCCCTCAAATCAAAACGGTATTTGCATGGCTAGGTGGAGATATCAACGTCCACCACTCAAATGCCAGACAAGTATCAACTCTATTGCACCCTCGATGCAATAGCGGTGTTTACATGCCCAGCTGGAAAAGTCCTTGTGATTTAAAAAAGGTGCAGAGAAAGCATGCCCCTTCTCACACAGATGCATACACTTCCTGATGCCATGTATATCTCTATCTCTGTATTGCAGGGTTGTGTGAGTAAAAAAAGTCTACCTTCTTTTGTCAGGTGCATCACTATCTCTGGGCGACGAGGTGAGCCCTTTACGTAACGACTTCAGGTTTTCAACTTTTCAGCATCCTGTCGAGTCCACATTGCATCCTCGGGCAGACGTTTGGTGTTCGGTGGAAGCCCGAGGAAACAGTCCGGCAGAGCCATGTCTTTCTTTTGTAGAGCGAAAGGGAAAAATAATCATCCTCATGTTCGCCTTCTTTTTTGTGTAGAGGACACACACAGTCATGTCATGTTTCTTTTTGGTGGGTGAGTTATTTACGGCGAACATGAGAAACAACGTACAGACACATACAGACCATACAAGCAAAAACACCAGAGCGAAAAAACAAGGAATGCAAAAGCTTAGGGCAGAGCACCCAGGCGTAGGAGTACGGTCAGATGCTGAACTCTACCGTCTTCACCCGAATAAAACGCCCAGTCAATATAGCTGTATTTGGCACAACTTTCAGCCCAGATACGGCGATAACTACCAGGCGTTCTATTCGGGTGAAGCCGGCAGGGCAAAAAGGAATAATAATCAGTCATTGCCAAAGAGGAAGATCAACAAAAGGATACCATAAAAGGCCGCCTCTCTCTCTCTCTCTCTCTCTCTCTCTCTCTCTCTCTCTCTCTCTCTCTCTCTCTCTCTCTCTATCTATCTATCTATCTATCTATCTCTGTGTGTATGGGTGACACGAGGGGGGAGGGGGAAACAATCTTTAAGTCTGATTTTTTTCAAGGCTTCCAGTATCTCGTTGCAGGATGCCTGCCCCTTGAGAATCCACCTGAGTCTTTCTTCTAAATCTGACGCACTTCTACGCCACACTCAGGAACAACGCGAATTGCAAAAGAGCACGACCGAAACAGCCAGACACAGACTGGAAAATTGGAGCGATTCAGGTGAAGACCAGGACAAGCACTTATATACTTTTTTTTTCCTTTCTGTTTTGAAACATCCCAGACGTTAATGAAGAATACAAAGCAATGAACCTCGAGTTCAGGGGAACAAGATCAAAACTGCTGGCTGCTGGTTAATCCCCATCTGAAACTAGACCACAGGGGATCAAACCCTCGACAACCGGAGTAACCGGCGTTGCCAATCAACTCCTTCATCCTCTCCATTTTCTCCCTCGGCTTCTGCCATCATCAATTCCATAGTACCCGCCCGCATTACTTCACCTCTAGATATCTGAGACATGGAGACCTGCATCAAACGGACAATAACAAGTCTTAAAATTTAAAAATAAAATTACAACAACAAGGGCCAGTGCGACTCCCGCGTGCATCAAAGTGATTAGCATGGCGCCTGCGCAAGGATGACACGCATAAATCGAGAAATGGTCCATAAAAAAAAAAAAAAAAAAGGCGACAAATAGTCAATGGAGAGAATGCAGCATATGCAGATATGGGCACAGAAAAAAGTCAATGGAGACATAGTAGCATAATTGAATCATTCTAGAGAGACGAGCTTAAGGAAAGGAACATTTCTGAAAACAGCATTTACAGATGTGGGAACAGGAAAAGGTTTGAATGAATCACAGAAAGAAGGGTGGTGGTTAAAGAAATGGGGGGACCGCAACCGCACTGACGATGTTATGGACAGGCATTCCCGTAGATACAAGGGATAGAGAGGAGCAGCATGGGAGCCAGAGTGTCCTTTCTCTAGAACACCACTGTCGGGATACAGAGGAGAGGTAAGAAGTTGGGAGAGGCAGTTAACAAGACGACAAAACAGAGCGCAAACAGGTGCCCTTAGCAAATCTTGCTACCGTCTTCCCCCAAACATAACGCACCCTGATCATGAACGTATACAACCCAACTTTCAAGTCCGATACATTCAAAATGAGGGTTCCTTGTGTTCGGGGGAAGAAGACGGCAGGGTAAATGACTACGAACAAAACAAGAAGAAGAAGAAGAAGAAGAAGAAGAAGAAGAAGAAGAGCGCAAGGGTGAGGGGCAGCGACACCAAGTCCAAAATTACCTGGCGGAAGCGACTGCTTGAGCTTGTCAGCTTTGTCTGTATCTGTCACACAGAGTGTGTACAGGTACTTGCGACAGCGGACTTTAAACTTGACAACATCACCTGTCTTCTTGATCTTGACAGCTTTGAGGCAAATAAGGTGAACACCAAAGATAGAAAATTTCAAAGTCAAGGATATTAACTCTTTGTCTATGAAGAGTTACATTAACATCGCGTCTCAACAGAATAAAATTAGTCACCCTTTTGTTTTCTTTCCTCTTCTTTTTTTTTCTTTTTTATTCAAAACAAATAAAGCCCCTTCTATTCTTGGGTGGGGGGGGGGAGGGGGGCGGGGGGGGGAGAGACAGCAGTCCGCTTGCTTATCACCAGCAAGCATGGTTCCACAGCTCAGAACGGGAAAATTACACAGATTCAAGGGCGCTGCCTTCTCGAGCCCTTGCGGCCCTAGCCACCTGTCTAAGGGGAGGCTGTCACGGACAAACCCCTCTTACTAAACCCCATCGGGAGCCCCTCTTCAAGGGCTCCCCTGCTGATCGGGAAGCTTACTGACAGCAGCACCCATTAGTCACCCTTTCCATTATTCGGTAGAAAAAAATATATATATTAAAAAAAAACATGTCACTCTGTATCGTTCTCTTAAGACCACATTCATTGCACGCACGGTACTCTCACAAACTACCCATCGCAAAACAAGGAAAAAAAAAAAAAAGTGCCCTACTCTCTCCTCAGTTCTGTACTGTGTTTGGCAAACACCTTGCCCTCACACCCTCCGTGACACATTTCACTCAAAACATACATTCAACCATTCACTTTCATGACACTGGGACTCTCGACACTGGGACTGTCAACACTGAGGTAGCTTCCAGACTCTCACCACTGGGACTCTCACCACTGGGACTGTCGACACTGGGACTGTCGACACTGGGACTGTCGACACTGGGACTGTCAACACTGGGACTGTCGACACTGGGACTGTCGACACTGGGACTCTTGCCACTGGGACGCTCGCTCCCTGCTCTAGACATGTCACAGCCCAAACTCCCTTTTCACCCGACTCCTCCCTCCATCTCCACAACCTCCCCCTCCCAACCCGCGTTCTCTAAACATGTTATACAGCCCAACCTCCCTTTTGTTGTGGCGGCTGCGTTGACTATTTTTGGGCGTGGACTCTTTTGGGCGTTGACTTTTTTGGGTGAGTGAGTTCCGTTCTTAGCTCAGCTGGATAGAGGAACAACTTTCTGAGTTGGATTCTTAGGTCACAGGTTCAAATCCTTTGGGATGCAGAATTATTCGCGAGAGTGGCCCAGTGGTTAAAAGCGACAGACTGTAAATCTGTTGAAGGTTACCCGACTCCTCGATCCCGCCGGTATACCTACCTCCAACCCACGCATTTCGCCAGAGGCTTGGTCGTGATTCTTCATCAACGCACCTGCAAATAGAGCGAATACGTCCCATAGAAAGTACGGAATGAAAGTGGTGTGCTACTACATAACAAGTGTCAAGGCATGAAAAAGAAATCAGGGCTCAACAAGCAAAAATCCTTACCTAACCAACCAACAAATTCCTGAAAACCAGACCCAAATTCAAGTCCAGACAGAATCAGATGACCAGAACAAAATAATTCTAAATTACCTTTCAGCGCCCGGTCAGTTCAACGATGATTTCTGAAGGCCGTCGCCCTTCAAAAGAAAAAAAATGTATATATCGTCACAAACAGAACTGCCCGGTAAACCGTAGGCAGAGAGAGAAGAGGACAACAAACGAGGGGCTGTGACAAACTGTTTCGTCGGAGTTTCACCGACTCATCAGGAGGCTGATATATATACAATTCCCTGAGAAATAAAGATAAGAAAGAATCGGGGCAAAAAAAAAAACTTGGTGGACGACTGCAAATCGGAATCGATAAGGATACATCTTGCATCCTTCCGCCGAGCGGTCAGAAGAAAATCCTTGATTTCGTGAATTTGCTTAGGCTGCACATAGACAAAAACATAACGCACACATGACAAAAAACACCGTTATAGTACAACAAAAAGTGAAAACCGTTATAGTACGACAAAAGAGTGAAAACCGTTATACTACAACACAGTGAAAAACGTTATACCACAACAAAGACCGTTGTCATGGAGACAGGCTCTCGCCGCACGGCACACGAAACGAAAACGAGACGAGTGCATCTGCCCACGAGAGGTGGCAAAGTACACTCGTAACTATTTATAGCAAACCGATGAACCTGGCCATTTTCTGCAGGAAGATTCACTCGTTTCGTTTTTCGCTTCGTGTCCCGTGCGGCGACGCCCATAGTATAACAAAAGTCGTCAAACGGGAGATAAAAAGCAAGTGAAACAGAAGTCCATCGTCCATCGCAAAAAGGGTTAGGACATTGAATCTATTCATTTTCCAGTTCTGACCTTTTCCAGATTCTGTGAAGTCTATCAACGCCTTTTCCTCGAGAAAATCTAATCTGCAGAGAAACGACCTTGATAGATTGTTTCCTCGAGAGTTTCACCGACTCATTACGAGGTGGAAATCTATATTTGTTGCGTGCATATACACATTTGTACGTATATGTACAGACTCATCACATAAATATCAGAGCACAAAAGCGAAAAAAAGGGAAACAAAAAAAATATTAGTTCATTTTTTATCTTCTTCCTTACAACTGCCCCCCCTGTTCAGAACCTCCTCTTGCGTACAAGGCCGCCCACGTGGATGTAGGTTGAGCGGCGGCTGCCCCCACCCCCATGTGTCATATCGACCCACTTGCACAGCCAGAAGGCAAAGAGGCAAAGAAAAGAGGAAGGGAACAGCCAAATAATACAGAACAGGGGGCAACAAAACAAATCCCAGATGACAAGTCCCACATGCAAGCACAGCCCCAAGACTCATATATATCGTCACAAACAGAACTGCCCGGTAAACCGTAGGCACAGAGAGAGAAGAATAATAAATAAAAAATTAAAAAAAGAAGAAAAACACAAGACGCGCAACTGAAGAGATCGAATTCCCGGCCTCAATTTTGAATTTAACGGAATTTCTCGCTTTTTCCCAAAAAAAAAAGAAAAAGAAAAAAAGAAGAGATCGGACTTCTTTTTTCTCTGGAATTGAGGCCGGGAAATTACTAAGAGCAATAACAACAAGTGTAACGAAAGAAAGAATTAAGGAAAAAAATTTAAAAAATAATAATTAAAAAATATATAAAAAAAAAGAAGGAAAACACAAGACGCGCAACTGAAGAGATCGGACTTTTTTTTTCTTTTTCCTTTTTTCTTTTCTTTCATCGCGAATTTATATTCTATTTTCAGATCGTCTCGGATCAAGGAAGAAAAAGGGCTTCGCTCCGCTACTCTCCAAATGTGCAAAAAACGAAAATGAATCCTCCGCTAGAACATGGAACAGATACACCGCCATGTTTTTTTTCTCTTTTGTGGTTCCATGAACAATTCTCTCTGCAATTGAGGAGAGGGTAGTGCACCGAGGCCCAAAGAGTGTGAAAAGCTCCACAACAACGGAAAACTGGCTGCCTATACCAAAACGTTCATACGGCGCGAGGTCTACAGCGCTTGCTTCGCCCCTCGTTCACAAACGAAATGCGCTTGTGTGTGTTGTGCACGCGCATGTGTGTGTGTGCATGCGCGTGTGTGCGTGTGTGTGTGTGCATGCGCGTGTGTGCGCGTGTGTGTGTGCATGCACCGAGTATGTCGTTTGTTTGCGTGGAGTTGGGTGTATGTCGCAGCCATTTTCACCGAGTACTTAAAAACCTAACGCTTGCGACGCAAACAGTGGTCAGGAAACGGTCTCCCTCAAACGGCATACCACTCTACAATACATAAACCTTCCTCTTCTAAGGGTCTCGCCCCACGGCACACGAAACGAAAACGAAACGAATGCATCTGCCCACGAAAGATGGCAAAATACACTCGTTACTATTTATAGCAAACCGATGAACCTGGCCATTTTCTGCAGGAAGATGCACTCGTTTCGTTTTTCGTGTCGTGTCCCGTGCGGCCACGCCCTAAGGTCCTCAGCCAACTGTTTGCTACATTATAGAGCAAGTGACAGACTCTACAAGGAGAATGAGCCTCGCTCCACTACTCTCGACCAACCAAAAGACAAAAATCACGTCGGTGTATGTATATTTCCATGTTCTAGCGGAGGATTCAGTTTTCGTTTTTTGCACATTTGGAGAGTAGTGGAACGAGGCGCTATGTCCCAGCCATTTTCACCGAGTACTTAAGTTAAAACCTAACCTAACGCTTGCGACGCAAACAGTAAATAGGCAACTGGCATATCACTCTACAATACATATAAACCTTCCTCTTCAAATGTCCTCAGACGACTGTTTGGTCGAGATTATAGAGCAAGTGACAGACTCTACCACCTCCCACCAGAGGCTCTCTCTCTTAAAAGAGCATCTCCCGATACATGTCCGTAGACGAAGTGCTAACGTGTTAAGGATCACCTCATGCCGTAAGCCCTCCATTTGCCTCCATTTCCCCATCCACCCATATTGATGTCATCCGAAAACCTAGTCTAGCTTCCCCCGAATACAACGTACGGTCATTATAGCTGTATTTAGTCTGAAAAACAGCCCAAATACAGCTATAATGACCGTACGTTGTATTCGGGGGAAGAAGGTAGTCTAGCTTCCACTTACCCAGGGAAGCGGACTAAGATTCCTCGCCGAGGGCTCTTCCTTACCTTGATGAGATCCCCTCCTCTACTCTCTCCCTGCAACGACGCAATTTTACATGAAGCTCTGCAGGCCTTGGGCGCTTTTCCCTCCACTGCTTTCAAGCCAGAAAAACAGTTCGTTCCAGTCTAGCTTCCACTTAGCCATTACCCAGGGAAGAGTATTGAGATTCCTCGCCGACGGCCCTTCCTTACCTTGATGAGATCCCCTCCTCTACTCCCTGCAAAGACGCAATTTTTCGTACACTACTCCAGGCCTTGAGCGCTTTTTTTTTTTTTTTTTTTAACCAGTCTGCTTTCATTACTTGATACAATTCAACTGCTTTCATGCGAGGACAACAATTCGAACCAGTCCTTGATTTGCATCTACGTCGAAACATCATCATAACCTTCAAGGCTTCAACAGATTTACAGTCTGTCGTTTTTAACCTTTTTAACCACTGAGCCACTCTCGCAGATAATTCAGCATCCTACAGGATTTGAACCTTTGACCTTCCAACTCAGAAAAACTGTCGAGAAGCCTCCTCTGCTCCAACAATGGCACTCCCTGTCTTGGCCGTGATTGTCTCCCTCAGCTTAGTCAGATTACACCCACTGCTTACCCTCTATCTATTAGGTCGTTGGTTGGAATCCAACCTAGGGAGCTGTTCTGTGTTCGGCATGAGACAGGATTTGAGCCTGTGACCTTCCAACTTCGAAAAACTGTCCAGAAGCCTCCTCTGCTTGAACAATGCGACCTTGCAGAATCTGCACTCCCTCTCTTGCCTGTTATTATTACCTCATGCCCCCGCGATTCACCCTCCTCACGTCATAAAAGAGAGAGAATGAAGCACCTGACCCACACACCAAATCTGAGCCTCGCGCACGGATTCAAAGCTACTCATCCCTCTATATAGAGATGCCCTCAGACGATCCGTCTCGATTGATGTGGGAGAAAGACCTCACGCACATTCTTTTTTTTCTTCTTTTTTTTTTCAAATATATTGCCAATGAAATGTAAATGGAACACGCACATTCTTGCAGCAGCGATTTAAACTTCCGAGTCTCCAGCGAGCGTAACGAACTGCTCAACTTGGTCCTCCTGACTTAAACTTGAGAATATTCCATGACGATTCTGTGGATACATCCACACTCTGGACAGTTCTCTGTAGGGTACTTCCGTCCATAACAGTAAATATGAGCGCGCTGGATACGATTAACCTATCGATCTTGGATCTGAATGAAGTGCACGCGATCGGGACAGATACAATTAATCTATTGATTGATGAGCATAAGCGGCAGAGATTTCAAGCATATACACTATCTATGGGAAAAAAAAAAATCGCCGTATCGACGATAATTAGGGCCTCGCCACCCCACTCCCTGAATGTGTAAAGTGGAGCATGAATCTTCCGCAAAAACATGGAAAGATGCACCCTCCATAGGGTTTGTCGTTTCTCTCTCTCTCTCTCTCTCTCTCTCTCTCTCTCTCTCTCTCTCTCTCTCTCTCTCTCTCTCTCTCTATTAAACTGATCAGAACAGATACTACGCTTGATCTTAGCCAAAAAGATCTTAATCCTTATCTCCTTATCTCATCAGATCAGAAAGGTATTGATTTGTCTTTTTCACATTCCGAGAGGGGTTTTCCGAGAGCGGTGTGGCGATGCCCTTAATCCTTATCTCTTCTCCCACCCATTTACTTACAAGGTCGGTAAATCCTCTCTCTCACCTTTTCTCCCATCCTTAAACAACCCCAAGCAGCTGAGGCAAGTAGCACAGGAGAGGCATTTGCAGAGGAGCGAGCAAGGAAAGAGGCCACTAGGACAGAACATAGCAGGCAAGCGGCGGGACAAGCTGCTGCTGCAGGCATTCCCATCACCAACCATCTCTTCGGGCTCTAACGGGTTCCCCACCTTCCCCCCCCTGGCCCCGGCGCAAGGATGACACGGATAAGTCGAGAAATAGTCCAATTTTTTTACTTAAAAAAAAAAAAAAAAACAAGAGCCGAAACGGAACGAAAACCTCGTTTTCTAAAGAAGCACATCGACACAATTACAGAACCATTCGCGTGAGATATCGGGCATCGCTCCACAACTCTACACATGCACAAACGACAAAAATCATGGCGGTGCATCACCTTTCCACGTTCTAGCGGAAGATTCACTCTCATTTTCTAGCGGTTCATGTCTCCATGTTCTAGCGGAAGATTCACTCTCCATTTGGAGATTAGTGGAGCGAGGCCCATTGACCAGCATGAACGGCCCCAACAGTACGCCGGCAAGAACTATGTCCCGACAGAAGATCCCAGCTCTCCTTCGTCTCTACAGCAGAATCTACCCCATCATTTTCAAGAACGCCCCGACGCCTCACGATGGCATGTAGGTCGACGTATCCATCTGCTACGTCAGTTCATTGATGTCAACTTCAAACCTTTCTGGCCTTAGAGCCTCGCTCCACCGCAGAACATTCGACACGAATGTGGACTGCGAGGGAGTCCAGGTACATTTGGAGTAATCCGACTTTTGGAATGAATCGAACCACTATTGATTTCAGATGCATATGGAGTGTTGTGTGGTGGGGCGAGGCTCTTATACTTGGGCATAACAGGGAGAGAGACAGATAGACTCAGAGAGAGAAAGAGAGAGAGAGAGAGAGAGAGAGAGAGAAAGAGAGAGAAGGAGAGAGAGAAAGAGAGACGTAGACAGACACAAGGTGCGGAGAAACACATAAAGAAATCGCAGCACCACCTGGCCAAAGCCAACATTTTGGGCATCGCCAAACCACTCTCGAAATGTGCAAAATGAGAATGAACTTCCCGCCAGAAGATGGCCAGAAGCACCCCCCACATTTTTGTATTTTTCACATTTCGAGAGCGGTGTGGGGAGGAGGCCCTTTGTATAGAGACTACTTCCAGCTCAGAAACACGCAGAATGTTGGCACTTGCCGAATGGTGAGAGCGAGAGCGAGAGAGAGCGAGAGCGAGAGAGAGCAAGAGCGGAAGAGCGGAAGAGCGAAAGCGAAAGCGAAAACGAAAGTGAAAGCGAGAGAGAGAGCGAAAGCGAGAGAGAGCAAGACTCCCCGAAGCAAGAGAGTGAGAGACCGACACCGATAGAGAGCAAGACTCCCCCAAGCAAGAGAGCAAGAGAGGGAACAGGACTCACCGAAGCAAGACAGCGACAGATTGAAACCGAGAGAGTGCATGTGAGCGGGTGTTAGGTTGGGAAACACTCACCATGGCTGCTGATGTCGATACCGCCCGACTACCGTAGCTGAACGATCGGGAAACAGGAGGGAGAATGCGTCAATGGCCGACGCCTAAGAAGGAGAGAGGAGGAGAGAGAGGGAAGATGCGTCGATGTGAAAAAATCCGCCGCCAGGCCAGGCAAGCACTTAGTAGGAATCCGCCTAAGCTCTATCGACCCACATCAGCGAAACCCTAAACCGGTAGGCCGCACACACTTTCGGATGAGGCCCAAACAGGCCGGCTGAGTTCGCAGCCAGCAGGCTGCGCCTACCGTCTTTTTCTCCCGATCATAACGCGTACGCGTTGTATTCGGGTTTTACCAAAAAAAACTACTTTTCAAAAGTTCCCGCACTTTTATCTAATAGAAGGACAAGTCGAATAGAACGCGAACGTGTTGTACTGGAATAACAGACATATGTTCTATTCGAATTCAAAAAAGAGAGGAGTGTTGTATTTGGACCATTTCTTGATTTATGGTGTCATCCTTGCGCAGGGGCCATGCTAATCTTCTCTGTATCGTTCCAATTTTGGGCCTCGTTCCACTACCCTCTACTTGAAAAAAATCTCAAGGGCAGCCCTACGGGCGCCCTTGAGTCAAAACGTAATTAAAAAGTGCTAGAGGTCGTCGGCGTTCCACTACACCCTGCAGTTCGAGCGGGAAAATGTGCACCCCTGTTTGTCATGGAATTTTCACAACCCAGGTCCATCCCTCGGCCCCGACAACCGCGATTGGCAAAAAAAAAAAAGAAAGGACCGGACGCGGGGGCTGAACTGCTGCCTGGCCACGCACATTGCCGCCTTTTCCAAGAATTTTCAAGTCACCTCCGGGACTGTCTCTTATACACATCTAGATGTGTATAACAACCCAGGTCCATCCCTCGGCCCCGACAACCGCGATTGGCAAAAAAAAAAAAAAAAAGGACCGGAGGGGGGGTGGGCGCCGTTTCCAAGAAATTTCAAGTCACCTCCGGGAGGTGACTTGAAAATTGGCCGAAGTTGCCTCGGCACCCTACGGCCGCCCTCGAGTTTCAGAGCGGGGTTTTGTTGAGGCGGGAAGCTTAATCCCTTTCCAATCGTGATTAACACATCTCAAGGGCCTAGTGGAACGGCGCCGCCATTGAGATTTTTTCAAGTCGAGGGTAGTGGAACGAGGCCCTTTAACAGATGTCCCGAAGGACAAACATTACTTTTCGCTTTTCCCTCCCAAGGTTAGCGCCTGCTCCGTTTTTGCCCTAGCTACAAGACAGGGCCCTGCAACTCTTGACAAGTTGAACCTGTCAGCCCCTAATCACACTTGCGTTGTGTTTTGACCTTAGCCATAGCAGCCAAGGCCAAGCAAGTGGCAGTGTTTCACCTTTTTGGCTATTGCTTGTCAAGATTCGAGGGCGGGGTCCTCTACATTACTCCCGAGAAACAGGTACTGGAAGCATCATCCAGCTTAGCTTACAGGCTGAAAGCCTGCAGGTCTTTTCTACAGACCTCGCAGCTCTTTGGCCCGGACCCCACAGGAATTCCTTTGGAAAAGACTTTTTCGAGGAAAATACGGTGGAAGATTTTTGGAAAGTATGGAAAGTGTTCCGCGGTGGGATCCCCGCGGAGTGACTTTTGCAGAATAATGACAACCATTTTTTTTGTAATAGGATACGTCCATGCCCACAGTCCCGAAAAGGAAAGTAGTGTTTTGTCGGACTGGCCGGTTGCGGACCGTGGGAACCAACAATGTCCCATACCGAGCGCCTTCGTGTGACGCGCAACCTCACGCCCTGTGCTGTCTTTCGTTCGGAGTGCTTGATGTGCGGAAAGAGGCCCAAAAAAACAGCAAGATGGGGTATGCCAAGGATTTTTGGAAATTGAGTGTGGGGACACAGACGGAACTGAAATCCCCCATGTTGGTCCGATGAAGTAAGTCGGTTGCTTTCACGCGTCGCGGAATCCGCGTGCGGACACAGCGCGAAAAGAGAAAAATCCAAATTCAATCCAAAAAGTATTGTCGAGCTTTCCACCGCTCTGCGGCCCGTCGTTTAGAGCGGAAGGGCTTTGGCACGCTTCGCGTGTCTCGTTTTCGTATCAAATCCCGACGTCGCTCGCTGGTCAGTTCCGAGTTTGATGTGGAGGGTCTCAACCTCGTGACTCTTTCCTTATGCTCGTCTTCACTCCGTATTCGGTAGTGGAAACCCTTTGCTTCGTAGCGATCAAAACGCTGACACTCTATGCACAGGGTTCGAGGCCAATGGGGTGCCACTGCCATCCACGGAATGACGATCAGCTCGTTGAATGACAACAATATCGAGTAGGGTAAAAAGTGCGTGTCGATAATCATAAATCCAGCCTCTACGAACCCTGAACAACGGTTTGCCGGAGGGAAGTAGTATCGTCCGCCGATCTGTACGACAGCTTATCGTACGTCCCACTCACATACACGCGTCCTTTCCTCGTTGTAAGGAAAAGGTCGTGTTGATACGGGAGGTACAGGAGGCTGACGCTCGATCGAAGGGTGCTTGTCAGTCCACATGTCAATCAATTGCAAAAACTCCGAGACGTCATCAAGGAAAGAAACGCTCGCGCAACCACCAATCAATCCTTTTTTAATCACGAGAGAGAGAAAACACTCATCAAATTGGTCAGGTGCAGGTGTTGTGCAGTATAAGGCAGATGGCATGCGCAGCGCACTCAGAATTACAGATCTAAACACTCTTGCATTATCGGACAAGATCCCGACAACAATCGTCTAATCAACTCCAAAAAGACACGTACCTCCATACATACATTCACTGTGGAAGCTGCGAAAAAGAGATATGCACGGAGATTAAAAGATGGATCACTGAATAATACACGCGCATCCACCGTTCACAAGACAAGAAGGCGGGGTTCCTGCATAGGGGGACTACCCAGGAAACTAATGGAAGAGTTCCGGAAGAAGTTCTTTCACACGGGAACAACATGCAGACTCATTCCCATTTGAGAGAGAGAGAGAGAGAGAGAGAGAGAGAGAGAGAGAGAGAGAGAGAGAGAGAGAGAGAGAAAGAGACACTTCATCATTCATAGATAGAGGGGAGAGAGGGAGATAGAAGGGGACAAGATCCAAAAAGAGGAAGTTCGGCTTTGTCGCCGCACACTCACACCAGAGATAAAGATCCGCAACAACAAAGGCGCATTCGCCGTGAATTCCAATATGGCCCTAGGCCAACCACTCACTCAACTCCAATCGTCGATCCTCATACCCGCACCGACGATCCCTGTCGCCGCGTGCTAACTCCCACCACTGCGATCGTCACCCCGCTGACGTAAACTCGGCACGGTTCGCCCAGATCCCACAGTCCGTCGTGGCGATTAAGCTCGCAACTGGCCAGCCTATCGTCAGCCCGACAGGACTTTCCGACTCGCACCAAACACTCTGCCTAGCCACTGCTTCCCGGAAGCTAGCTTAAGAGTCGAGAACGTAAGAGAGATTTGCGGGCGCGCTTGCAGAATTTATAGCAGCGAGGAGGGAGCCAAGGGAGGGAAAATGCAAAGTGAAAGTCGAAGTATAAGAGGAGAAGCAGGAGAAGAAGACTTTGAGAGGAGCGCTTCGCGGAAGCCATGTTGATGCTTCGAAACTCAAGATTGATCAATCAGACTCGTCGCACGATAGGCAGATCCTACCGTACCCTGCATCTGATTGGTGGGCGAGAGTAATCGAAGGATCGACCAGACTTCGCGAGTTTTGATCAGAGAGAAGAAAAGGCGCGAGAAGTAGCGCAAGACGGGTCCAAGATTCAAATGATCAAGAAAGGGGAAATGGGCGCGCAAGAAACTGAGCGGGAGAGAGAAAGGGAGGGAGAAAAACAGTTACGAGGAGAGAGGAGGAGGAGGGGGAAGGAAAAAGGAGCTCGGGAGAGAGCGATGCGGGGGACAAAGATAAGGAAGTTTTTGCATGCGTGGCGCCGTCAAAAAAAAAAAAAAAAAAAAGGCACCGAAGCAGTTACAGCTCGCCTACGTCCTAAACCAATTCAAAATTGAAATCACCATATCCGCGCGCGAAAGAGCAACGTGGGAAAAGAAAGTCCTACGCCTATTCGTATCCTTGCAAAATTCCGAGAGTTTTCCCCGACGCGACAAAAAACATTCACACACAAAAAGGACACGTCGAAGTTCCGCTTATCCCGGAAATCCCAACTGCCGTACCCAATTCTCAGTGCGCTCGCTAAGGCGTACGTAAATTCCCAAGTATTTCCCGAATTGCAAAAGGAAAAGCCGAACCCGGGAATCGTAAAAGCTCCCGAAAGATGGGGGCCAAAAACGTGGCACCCGAAATCAAGAAAACAAAACGGGGGTTTTTATGGGGTTGATATGATACAAAAAGGAGGGGTACGAAAGATAGCACGGGTTTGGGAAGTAGTTCATCACATATGTGATGCGCAGGGGGTTCCAAAATCATGCGATCTCCTGATTGCGTGTTATGGTGGAGAAGGAGAGAGGGAGAGAGAGAACAGAGTGATGCATGAGGAACCAAGCGTATCAACAAACGATCTAGCCAAAGTCCATGTTGACGTCATCTTCAATTGCAATCTTCTCACTGTTCTGATGGTTCGTGCTGCTGGAATCATCGATGGTCGTCCAGGTGACGCCATCATCGTCCACCTGTTCTCCGTGTGCTCCGCACCCCAGTTATCGCTGCCGGTCGAATCAGAGCGTAGGTTGACGTCATCATCAATGGCATGATCTTCGCGACGCTCACTGATCCGTGTCGTTTTCCCCTAAGGGTTAGATGGAGAGAGGGGGGGGGGGGGGGGGGAGGAATAGTGATGCGATCGGGATCTATCTCCTAGTTGGAATGGGCCAATAGCTGTCTCTTATACACATCTAGATGTGTATAAG